GCCTCTTTTTTAAGGGATAATTTAGCACTCATATCTACAAACTCCTCAGTGTGTGTGTGTGTGTGTGTGTGTGTGTGTGTGTGTAGAATACTAACTCCCCTTGTAAAAAGATACCATGCCAGAGATAAAGCTCAGCAGTACATTGCCTTCCTGGCAAGTGCAAGGTCCTGAGTTTGACTTCTAGTATAAAAAAAATAAAGACAAAAAAGAGACAAAGAAAAAGATATTTCTCTCCCAACACTTGAAGCACATACACTGTACAGATCATGACCAGCTTTTCCAGCATTAAGCACTTTTAGAATTTTTATGTTTTTGAAATTGATTTAGCAGAGTTAAGTGAACATTTTAGAATCAGTTTCATTCCATATCTCTGACAGGTAAATGTGGCCATCTACCCTTTGACCATTCTGATATCTCATCATCCTTGGTGATACTCAAGAGCCCAAATCCACAGCAACACAGAGCCCTCTCAACCCTGGCCCACAGAGAACAACTACAAATGGTTTCTTAGATACCAGTGTGCCCTGTCTCGAGAGCATTCCTTAAAACCTCAGTGGAAGGTGTGCCCTCTGACTTTCCCACAGAATGGGTCTCAGGAACAGGTGTTTCAAACTCTGGTAATAACCCCATTCTGAGATTTCTACCTCCCTGTACTTCTGATGCCTTTACTATCATATAACAGAAGTTTAGGTATCTCTATGTCACGTATTATGGAACATCACTTGCTCATAATTTGAGAATATATGCATGTCAGCAGAATATTAGACAATCTCCTGGTTTTCTTTACAAAATATTGAGTGCAAGTCACAAATGAATGTACCCATGCCAACCGATCTTAACCTGGCCTGGTCTTGTCTCCTTTCACACCTCAGTCCAAGGTGACCTCATACACATTCCCTTGCGTCCTGATGCCATCTAGTGATGCTCAGGCCATATATTCCTTTGGTTTGTAAGCTGTTTCTTGATAAAGCTAGGACTTGCATAGTTCTGAGAGCTAAACATAATCATCATTCTGAATTCAGTGAAGCTGGGGAAGGCAAATTGGGAAGCAGATAAATATTATCTTGTGATGTGTTATCCCGGATAGTCTTCATCAATTCTTTATGCAAGATTAGGCTGCTCTCTTCTGAAAGAATGAAGTATTTTTTCTGCCCATGTGGAACTTTATGGGAAATTTAATTGCTTATGATTTTTTGGTTTTTCTAATCATTACCCCACCTAGGAATTGTCCAACTTTGCAATTTGATCTAGATCTCACCTTTAGCAATAAATGAGAATTTCTTTAAAGATTTCCAGTAAAGTCTGTTGGCTTTTTCCATGGGTCTCGAGTTGGATATTTGGCCTTTCTGCACATATTATTTTCTTTTGTCAAATAACTAGCTCACTCCTGACTTAGACAATTGTCATTCTTCTTGTATGATTGGAGGATCACAGCCATCAGATATTCCACTATTCACCTTTGTCTTTTCAAAACTGATCACGTATCCATGAGGCCAAAACATTGAATTCCAGAACAAAATACCTCAATCTGGAATTCCTAGAGAACAGAGCCTAAGACAAAAAGTAAGTCCTGATTGGCATCTGTGATCCAGAAAGCTGAACTGGAGAACAGGAAGAGCAAGCAGGTAAAGTGAAAGAGTAAATAAAAGATGAGTGCTTAACTAGTCAGACACGAGAAATGTGTTGATCAATACGGACTTTCTGAGGATCTTCATGAATATATCTTAAGAACACACTTCTACAGAGAGAGAGATGCAGTAACTCATCTGTTTTCCTCATTGATAAAATATTTGCTCTATCATTGATTATTCTTCTCATTTTTGTGTATATGAGTTCTAAGTTGCTTCTGCTAGAGAGCCTCTTGCAATATCAACAGAAAAATGAGCAAAGCTTTCGAGCAGTGGTGGTACAATTGCCAGCACCCTAGAAGGCTAATGCAGGAAGATCACAGATTTGAACCGAACCAGAGTAACTTAGTGACTTAGCAAGACTGTTTCAAGAAATTTTAAAAAGGGCTGGCTATGTATCTCAGTGCAGTAGAAAGGGTTCAATTACCAAAAAAATGGAGAAAGCAAGAAACACATTGAACAATCCTGAAATGCAGCTTTTGATTTACAAGTTAGAGTAGGACCTGTACAGAACTAGTCACCATGCTGAGGCTGGAATAAAAGACAGATAAGCCCATGGAATAACCTAAACATATATCTCAAAATCTCTATTATTCAGCAATTTTTTTTTCATTTTCTTTTTGTCTTTTTCGTTTTTATCGGTACCAGGGATCGAACTCACGACTGCTTGCTTGCAAGGCAGGCGCTTATGCTGCTGAGCTAAATCCCCAGCCCCTATTCAGCAATTTTAATCTTGGAGATGTAATCAACAGAAATACCTACATATGTGCAGGATTGCGCATTTATAAAAACAAACTGCCAGTGGTTAGAACTTGAAGTCCCTCTAAAATGGGTGAAGACCAGAAACAGTGTTTGTCACAGTAAGGCACATAGAAGAGAAAACATGTATGATACAATTCAGTTCAAAACTAGAGATTTAACCTGAGGCATTACAAGTCAGTGTCGTGGTTATTTTTGGGAAATAGAGAATGAACAGCGGATGTTGTTGGTGCCTCATGAGACCTCCCTTAGTACCAGTGTAAGAGATAGTGTAGCTGTTTCATCTATGAATAGGCAGCTAGGAAGGGGCAGGGCCTAAGATGCAGTGGGCTGGTCAGCCTGATGAGAAAGGTGTAGGTACACAGGGTTAAGGATAAATTCAAACCGTAGAGATCATTCAACTTGAACAGAGGAATGCTGTCGAAAAAAAGCACTGAGAAGTGACCACTGTAACTGACCCCTCCTACATTTTGCTTTGTTCTCCCTAATTACATAGCTTAATTCTTAACTTCCCAAAGAGTGTGCGATCAGTGTACAACCATTTCGTGCTGTGTTTCTCTATAGCTCATATTGCAGCACAGAGTGTCTATACCCAAAGTCTGTAGGCTAACTCACCTTGGGCTGTTAGGGCCAGAGACTAGGCCTCCTAGCTATAAAAGGCCCTAGATCTTGGTAACCTTTTTTGGCTCTCTCCTGACCATTGGAAATTTTCTTTCTTATATTCGCAACAAACACTCCTCTTAACTGTGTCCTTTCTCAGCAATTTTATTCTTCAGCTTCATAAGACACCAGACTGGTCTGGATGATAACACCCAGCCTCCTGCTTACTGCAAGAGTTGGCCACTTATAACTCCGAATTCTCCCCCATTCCTTTGCCAAATAGGAGCATGCCCTGCTCTCCTTTTTCGAACCAGACCTTGTATAAACATAAACATAAACATAAACGGATTGACTCTTTGATTCAGTTTTTATCCGTCTTTTTGTAGGATATGAGCAATCCCCACCCAAGACCACAGTAGCTTTTGCTCTGCTTTCCAATATTCCTCTCACTCCCTTCCCCTGTGAGCACTCTTCTCCTGTTGTGTCCACCAGAAAATTCCTGTTTCAGGCCATGCTTCTAGTGAACCAACCTAAAACAGAGTTTAGCCATGTTAGCAGCGCCTCAGGGAACCTGCTGTGAGGCCAGTAGTGTTCTCTTTTATGACCTGCCAGAGCACTGTGTAAGGGTATTAACTTGGTGATAGATCATGTACATGATCAATATAAAGAAGTTTATCTGAGAGAGACAGATTCTTTGTTAAAGAAGTTATTCTGTTCTCCACAAAATTGAGCTAAAAAATGCCTCAGAACCCTGCATATCTCATAATATTTTCAAGCCTTTCTGTTCTTGGAAAGCTACAGCCATTTGTAAGCACACTGCAAATTACTCATGACCCTCATCGGCCTCAGAAACTACCTGCAGGATTCTACCTATGCTAACTTCCTCCTAAATTAATCACATTAGACTAGATAATGCTTATCTACACAAACTGGCTTTTGCAGCACTAATGAAATTTAAAATCATAGTAGTTAGTAAATAAAAACTTAATTCCACATTTAAATAAAGTCTACCGAAGTTTGGGGGGACTTTGGAGTGTAGCACACAATTCTGGCTTCTTGTATCTTGTGGTAATTTTCTCAAGACAGAATTTTACAATCACCACAGCAGGTGAGTAGAGCACTTGAGATATTTGCACCAGTAATCAAATGTTTCTGTTTAGAAATGATGACTGTCACTTCTTTACACAACCCACTGATCACACCTAGTTAGAAGCCCCATTACTCTTCCCTCCCCAGGAGTTGGATTATGGAATCATACACCTCTCCAGTGTTCTCAGAAGAGAGAGTAATGTCCATTTAGAAAGCTCTACTATGCCTTCACTGATTTTTAACTTAAAACCTATCTTGGACTCCTTATATGGGACAATGAGAACAGATTTCCTTCTCCTTCTTTATGATATAAACTCCATGGGAATATAGAAATTTGATTTTTGGGTGGACTAATTTCTCAAATATTTTGTACACTGTTTTCTTCTCCCTTTAACTATGAAAATTAATCTTTGTAAATGAGGCTTTATAACTGGCTAATAGCAAGATGTGGTGATGCACACCTGTAATTCCAGCCCTAGTGAGACTGAGACATGAAGATTGCCACGAGTTCAAGGCCAGCTTCAACTATATAGTGAGACTGTCTCAGAAAGCAAACTATATAAATATATATGCATATAGTTTGATTATATATAATCAAGGAATAAAAGCATAATAAATGTAATAGAAAGCTTACAAAAGAGTAGAGATTCTGATGGCTTTATTTCATATAACAAAACTTTACTTTTATGAGAAGAAATTTCCCTCACATCACAGGGTGATATTAAAAATTATCTTATACATAAAAAATCTCCCCTCCCACATTGGCCAATGTGAATTCATAAAATATCCATGAACTTGATCTTCTTTGGTAGAGTTAATGGAAATAAGTTACATTAGTATATAAAATAATACACTCTTCATTACAAAAAAATGAGGTAGATATGAGTTAATAGTTCTGTGGATCACTGATCCTAGAAAAAAATACTGAAAAATATATAGCTCTTCAGAAAAACATCTTCCTTGGGATCACAAAATATATTTTCCATTAACTTTCTAATGGTTTGTCAATATTCTCAGCAGTTGAACAAACTATTAATTTTCCCGGTAGTCACTTGCTTTGTTATTGGATTATATTCATAATGCTTTGTTCCATGAAATAAATGGAAAAGTCCTAGAAATAAAACAAAGAAGATTTACTACATCATACAGCTAGCTTATAGTTTTAATTTGAACTCTTGACAGCCTCAAATTTTTAACACAAATGTTTTTGGTATTTGCTGCTCCGAGTAGCAATACTGATGTTATTAGTACGGCAACTAAATGGAAGACAGATTTTATATTCACTTACCATTTTTGCAGAAAGCAGCATCAACTTTATTTATTCCAGGAAAGTCCTGTGCTGTTATTTTAGGATAACCTTCATCCATGGATTTTTTCTTTTCATCATACCTGGTTAGCAAATGGTCAGGAGGGTGAGAACTTTTGGCTAAAAATTAAGACTTTTCCAAATCATTACAGAAAGCACTCTAGCATGAATTTAACAAGAGCTTTTCATTCTAGAGGTTGTAAAATGGGGAGTTGGATGAAGAGAGGTAGAATGTTGGGTGGACTAGAACATTTATAAGGTCTCTTTGAAATAGAATATCTACTTTTAATCACCTAGCAAATTCTACACCTTATCCTAATAATATAAAACATTATGCAAGAAAGATTCCTTTTGACCAAAGGAGCTCTATAAAGATGAATGCCTTCATTTTTGCATCTTTTTAAAATTGAATACTACATGCTTTCAGGAGTCTCAGCACAAGCATTAGGTAGTGATTACTCATTAATGGATTCAAATAGATGAGTGCTAGACTAGCTACAGTCATTCCCAGAAAAGATAGCTGAATAAGGCAATTTGAGACTCATTTTCAACTGGACAAATCTAGAACTTTCAATAGAGTCAGAACTAGTGGCCTTATTTCATTATTTTTGGTGATGCTAAGGGTTGAACTCAGGGCTTAGTGCATGCTGAGCAAATGCTTTGTCACTAAGCTACACCTGCCCCTTTTTTCTTTTCTGTTTTGAGACAGGATCTGGTCTGAAACTTGCAGTCTGCCTGCCTCATCTTAGAGTGTCTAGGAATACAGATGTGCAGCACAATGACCAGGAGCCTAATGTTTCATGATCAGTTTACCTCCAGTACTTGTTAGCAACAAAGAAGTATGTTTTTCCCGTGTACACATCAGAAGCAGCAGCATCAATTTTGGTTACAGTCCTAGGGAAGCCAAAAGATTGGTAGATATCCTTAGGGTAACCAAATAAAGCCTTCAAATTCTGAACAGCCCAGTACTTGTGACCTGCCAAATAAAAACCAGAGATGTAAATAATAGCTCAAGGCTCCAATAGACAGTAAGCTACAATTCCAGCTAAGATTTTACTTTCACATGCTAGAGCGGTGTCCTAGCTGCAGATTGGAATCATCTAGAGATTTTGAAAACACCGATGTTGGAATCCTGTTTCAGACCTTCAAAAAGTATGTTTCGAAACTTCCAATCTGAAGCAAGCTTTGAGAATGTTAATGGCCTGTGTATGGCCATTCCATCAGGGTTCCTTCCAAAGTGAGACATTCAAATGGCTAGAATTTGTCACACTTCCTCAGTGATATAAAGTTCAGGTAGAAGTTCATACCAATGGCATTCTAAGGACAGAGCCTTGTAATGACTCATAACATGCAAAGAATAGCAATCCTGGATTCAAACCATAGCATTTGAGTAGAGGACAGTTGCAGATATGTCAACTTATGCTGTGGCCAGTTCGGAAGCTTATGTCACATAAAGCTAGTCTTGTGTCCTTAAGCAAGGATTGCTCTTGTTCACAGATCTATTTATTTGCTCCTTATTAAAAAGCAGTATGAAACTTTTTATATGTAAAGCCTTTCTTAAATTCTCAATGCAAAGGCTTTCAAAGTTTTTGCGTATTGGAATGGCCTTCAATTCGTTGCTTTGCATGTGTTACAGGATCAAGTATCTGAATCTTTGCTGTACGACACCAAAACTGCAACAGTATTTGTGTTTTGCATAGTCTTCGAAGTCAGATGCATAGGATTCTGCTTCATTTTGATAGAATGAAAAATGAGTCTCACTTGTTTCATAATAATTTAGAACTTTGTACACATGCATTCCCTAGGAAACATGTTTAAAGCATGTTAAAATTCAGATTTTGCTCAGAGAGGGTCTGGATGGGATTTGAGATCCTGTATTGGTAGTGGCCTGCATGGTGATTCCAGTGCCTCTGATGGGAGGATTACACCCAGACAACAAGGTGGCAAATGTCCCATTTGAGGTGAGGGCTCCTGTTACCAAAGCATAAATAAATAGGATGTTGGAAACCACACAAACAAAATATTTCTATTCCATTCTCTGTAGAATTGTCCCATTTCTCTAACTTTATTTTTGAGCATATTACTGCCAGTAATATGAGAAAAGTTTAAGGACAGGACATAGTTTGCACAGAAAACATGTTTATAAGTCTAGATTCATAACTGGTCAGAGTAGTTCTATTTCAAATTATTTGTTTTTTGTTTAAAATGACTCAAATGCATAATGTAAGTTTTTTTTTTTTATCGATACCGGGGATCAAACTCACGACCGCCTGCTTGCAAGGCAGGTGCTTATGCCGCTGAGCTAAATCCCCAGCCCCCCATAATGTAAGTTTTAATTGAAGAGTTGCACTCTGATTGACTTGACTGGTGAGACTGTTATATTTTCAAAATTCTGTGACAAAATGTAGCTAATACCCTTCCATCTCACCTCAAAAATAAATAAAAACGTAGTGTGTAAAAACAATGAAAATAATTGGGAGCATTACCCTTGAAAAACAGGATTTTATCGTCCTCTTCAAATTCATAAGCAGCATCAAATCCACCTGACAGGTGTGGCCAAAACACAGAAATGAGATTCACTTCTTGGTATTTGTCTTGGTACAGTGGACGAAGGTAGAACCTGATTTTAAGAATATGAAAAAAAAAAAAAAAAACAGCTTCAGTCTAATTTCCAGCAGTCTCTACCTGGCATCCAGCTCTTTCTTGTTGCTGATATTATTTGTGTGCTTGTGAAATTTCAAATCTGACTCTTCAAAATAGAAAGTGGGGCATGGGAAGCTTGGATCTGTCACATTTGCTTAATTCCTTCGTGGATTCCCTTCATGGCAAATTTCAAGAGTCACAACAAAGCACCATCATACACTATTTCTAACACATAAATGCAATAGGCATTCATAATCTTCAGAGCATAAATAGTAAAACAAAGTCCTATTTCTTTTATGGCAGGATTAAAAATTGAGGTTAGGGAAAGTAAGAGAGGTCTCTAAGCGATAGAGCTGGTAAGAAGCACAGATTAATTTTTAATTTGTCTCTGGCCCAGCCGCTGCTTTTTTTGTCTTCTGATAAGTGGTACACAAAGTTGATTCAACAGTTCATAGGGATTGTAGCGACAGCGCAGAACAGCCTGTCATGTGGGCTGACAGGAGAATTTCCATTTCCATGCCTTGGAGGTTAGAATCCGACTTCTTGGTCCTGTCCTGCCTCAGCGTGGCTGTGAGATCTTGGTCAAGTCAGTTGCTGCCTCTACCCTGGTGTTTTCCTGATATGATGACGTTTACTTCATCTCAGCGTTCTTTCATTTCCTGCAAGCCCTGGAATTGTGCTACTTCTTGGAGTCATCGCTGAAAACTTGTTCTGATAGTTGTGTTCTGCTAAATGAACTTTCCTTTAAATCATGCTTCCTCAACATCTCAGAGCATTGAGCTGTACGCTGCGTAAGTCATTTCCAGCCTCTCCTTTTACACCAGAACTAGAAACCGATGAACAGGATGGAAAGCACTGGGCACTAGCACCTGAATTTTGGGATAGAGATGACCCAAAGTAATAAAACAGCACCAACCGTATTCTAAAAAGAGTGACTTAGGGAGGCAAATCTTTCAGGACCCTCCTCTCATCTCGAGCCCAGTTCTTTCTGTACTGATCTGCAAGCTGCATCATTGACAAGGTTATGTTATCTTTCCTGGTCCTTTAGGAATCACTGTGGTATAAAGAGCAGGCCTGTTCTGTTCACGAGAGAGGGACACAGTCCTTTTGAGGACACATGCTGAGGAGACAGTGCCAACAGCCTTCTCTGAGGAGGGAAACACAAAACTGTGGCTGCCTGTATCTGCCCAAGAGAGCTCATGAACTCAAGGACTGTCCCAGTAATGGTTCCCCCTTCTCCTCTTCCTTCTCCTCCTGCTCCTTCTCCTCCTGCTCCTTCTCCTCCTGCTCCTCCTCCTCCTCCTCCTCTTTTTTTTCCTCAGTCTCCTCTTTCTTCTCCTTCTTCTTTGCCTTCCTCTGTATTCCAGGGGCAACAGAGGGTCTTTATGGATCATAAGCTTTGGGAGGCCTCCATTCCAGGGTGGAAGGGGTGACAGTTACAGAGAGCTTACACAACCTCAACAACATGATGGTGCTGTGAATAGACTGATTTCTCCTCACCATTTTCAAGATTGGCACAACGAAAAAACCCTGGTTAGGAGTCAGAAAAACCAATAAGTACTCTGTTGTTAGCCAGCTTTCTGTCCTAAAAGGTTTTTCTTTCTTTTTCGCTGCCTTCTCTGTAAAATGGGATTGTATTTGCTGATTTTCTACTTCAGTGGTATTTTCTGAGAATCAAAATGACCTAAAAATATATGTGGAAAAAAAACTTAAGCATATTATGCTATATAATTAAAATCATTTGCTACCATATAATTATAAATATAAATCAATGTAAAAAACAGTACATGAAGCTTATTAGTGAGCAGAACACCAAAAGAACTGAGATCTCACCTTTCTTTAAAGAACATTACTTCTCCTCGAACTGTAGTTACAGCATTAAAGGTAAAGTTACCATCACACGCTTGTGGGGTTGTTAAGAATTTCTTGTTGATGGGTTTTTTGGGAGGTCCTAAGGAAAATAAGAAAACAAGTTAGATTTGCTTCATGTTGGGAAACTGCGTTAACAATAAAAGCATCTTAAAGGATACAGCAGATCATTTGCTCTATTTGTAATAGGTATAAAGACCAGAAGATCCCTGTCCATAACATTTTTATTCTTACCATACAGTTCTTGGATGCCATCAACATCATCTTGTCCTAGTAGAACTTGTCCACTGTACTGATAGATGGGGTACATCAAAGATGCAATGTCGGAAGAATGACCAAGTCCAAGGGAGTGACCAAATTCATGAGCCGCAGAATAATACAAGTTAAACTCTGAAGGTCAAAAAACGATCCCCATCTTCAGTTAATTACAATGTATACAGTTTTGAGGCATTTATTTAAGATACAACCCAGAATTCTTTTTGCTGTTATTTGTTTGTTTGAGAAAGGTCTTTCTGTGTAGCTCAGGCTGGCCTTGAACTTGTAGTGATCCTCCTGCATCAGGCTCCTGAGTACTGAGATTACAGGCAGGTGCCACCATGCCCGGCAGTCTACAATTCTATAAGGACTAATTCTTATTTTCTTGCTCACTTTCGAAGTATACATATGCATTTAGATAGCTACATATGCACATATATTTTATAAAATTTTTTTCTGAAGGTGGAAAGCATTATTTAATTAATAATGAAGACAGATGTTCAAACCTAAACTCTAGCACTATATTGGTAAAATTAAGTATTGACTGTCAGTTTAGCACAGATACAGATGAGTGGATTTTGTTAATGATTATCTGATACGTTTCACAGAAAAACAATGATGATTTATTATAATTTAATATTTTTCTTATTTACTATTGATAAATGGTTAATGCTGAAAATTTTGGGAAACACAGAAAAGCTTTCCCCCTTAACTTCTATATTAGCTTGCTACTATTGTTAAATTTTGCTGTAACTTTCTCACAAAGAAGATACAAACTAGATAATCACAAGCAAAACGTAAAATTTTTTTCAACATTTTCTTAATGGCAATATTAGAGTGGTCTATTTGTCTCTCTATAAGAAGTTACTCTATGAAAGCTGATTTCTTTTCTGGTATTCTAAATATTCTATTGTCTGAGTGGTAATGGAAAAATGTCTTTCTATTAATGCATTCTGTCAGTTAAGTCAATCCAATATTGAAATGAACTATAACGGGGGAAGGGAACTGGGAGTAAGAAAACTGATTTACTTACTACTGAAATCCTCAATCCACGATTCATTGGTCCATGTCTCATCTAGATCAAAATGAACATCCCCTCCCAAACGTGGCCCTGGTCCAAAAGCGTGAGCGAGTTTATTTCCAGGTCCATCAAAGGGGTTATTGTCACCGTGTTCTGCAAAAATGAATTCAAAGAAAGGTTCCATTGGTTCTCATTTAGGCTAACTTAGAACAGCAAGCTTTTTTGCTAAGATGCTACCAGACTTCAGCAAATGTGATATAGTTTCCTGCCTCGTAGCCCATGAGATCAATAACCTCTTTAACAAGGAATTCTAGCCGCAAAGCTGAGGAGAGTTAGGAGCCAGGGACAGTTAGGTGAAACAATTTCCATGCTACAGGAAGAGCTTACCTCCTCTGATAAAGGTTATCATTATGTCCGCTTCACCCTGAGAGATCCTGGTGAATGTCAAGGCTGAGACCTCACTCCAAATTTGAAAGGCTTTCCTAAAGGCCTTCTCCACAACTGATTTTGGCAAAAGTGGTGTGTAATTTACAATCCTTAATAAAATATAATACAGACATATTAGGCCTTACTTTTTAACATTTTAATTAGGCAAAAATGGTGTGTAATTTATAATCTTTAATAAAATATAATACAGACATATTAGGCCCTCATTCTGATAGTCACCTGTAAGTCAGATTCTTCATTTCCCAGACGGGGTTCCCAGGCATGGTGGTGAACGAAGCCACGTCGGGCACCCCACACCTGGGCTGCTTCATCACATTCAGGGTTTTCTTATCTGGCCTCCCAGTCACTTCCAGTCCAAAGAATTTCTGCATTTGCTCTAGTTGTTCTACCTGGCTATTAATGCTTCTTCTTTGTTTTCCAGCTTGTGTGTCCTTGTTCAAATTATAGTAGTTTTCCAGGTATTTCTGGTAAAAGATAAAATTATTGAAATACTGAGTGGGAAGTATGTCTCACTTACAACATAAATAGTATGAAGTTTTAGTCAAGATAGAGAACTATTTTCAATGCTTTTGCTTAGAAAGCCTGATCTTTGTAGTCCTTATCAAGAGTTTTAAAAATGCAGTTTCAGAGTAGAACTCCCCTCACTCGTCCTTACGAAAAAGACTGACCTTCACAGGAAAGCAAGACACACAGAGTGAAATTTGCATGTTGTTGCAAACCTTTAAATTTCTAAAGTGAGATTTGCATCCTGTTGTTTTACCTCCAATTGGAAAGAGGCTAGGGAAGGAGTTGTTTCTAACAAAAAATATTTTTTTTCTCTCTTTGTAGGAAATGTGCCCTTAAATAAACTCCATTACACTACAATAGAAAAGTTAATGCTAAAGACTTGCATTTCTAGTATGTGTAAAATACTATGTACCTCGACCAGCTCCGCATCTTCTTCTTGTATTTCTTGAATTGCTGGGAAGCCATGAGACCCCACATCCCAGAGCAGCAGCAGCAGCAGCAGCCGAAGACTGAGCATGCTGACCTCTGTTTTCCTTTGCAGGACGACAAATGGGTAGCTCTCTGCCTGCCTGTTCCTGCAATAGCTCCCTTGGAAGACTTCATTTTATAGAGAGAGTCCAAGCTGGAGGCTATTTGACTCACAGTTCAGAGCATCCTCTTGAATACCAATGAAGAGCCTGAGCAGTTATCAGATAGGACTCCAACTATGTTGCAATTGCATGATTAATATCTAACAGGACGTTTGCAAGACGGACAATCTTTACCACGTAAACGTTTGTTTTCTCCAATACACCTGCATCCTGTTGGGAAAAAGTCCTGGCTGCCTCCAAAGGCACAGAGTGCTCCATGATCTTTTCAAAAGATGGGTTTTACTCTTGGATATAAAGAGTTCTGAGTGTCTCTGCATCTCTTGTTCCCAGTGTCAAGGGTGGAATCTCTAGAGCTTTGTGTCCTCCTCTGTTCAGCACCCACATTGATGTTCAGCTGCTCAAGCACTGGTTGGCACTTGGGGACTCTGAGGGTCCACTCTACTTTTCCTAAACCAGCTGGTATTCCATGGAAATAGCACCACGGCCTACCTTAATCTTTATTCAGGTGTATGATTTGAGAGGGTGCCCAAGAAGATTCTTTATGGACAGGTGAGATATGAAATAATTCGCTGCCCTATATAGAATTTGCTTTTCCGCAACATGGGACAAATAGCACCATTCTCTGAAACTTGTCAGAATGCATCAGGTGAGGCTGGGACTGCCAAGTTTAACGTTCACCTTGATTTTTCTCCTTGAGTACATCTTTGTTTCTTGGGGGTAGGTGACACGTTCTTTTCTTCATATATGCATTCATTCATGTGTGTATGTGTTCCTCTACTCAAAAGTTCATTTACAACACCCACTTTATTTAATGACGTTTTGGTTTTAGAATAGCACGAGAAAATTCTGTCCTACTCTGTGTTGTCCCTTCATATGGCTATATGGTAACTTTTTGTTTAAATACAGTGTGCCAGGCACCTAACAGACACTTGGAATAATGTTGCTCCAGTTCTCAAGGTCACTTCCATGTAGCAATGACTGATTCGTCAACCCTGCATCCCCAAACACAGCAGTTAAGTGATAGAGTTGTAGGTTGAATACAGGACTCTACATGTAGAAATTTTGATTCTCTAAAAGAGAGAAAGTGTCTAGAGACACTAGGACTGTTACATCAGTTCCCTCTGGTCTATCACGATATCTCTACCCCACTGCTCAATTCCTCTGGCCTGAAAGAAATTTCTCCACTTCCCGTTAGAGATACTATTCAATCTGCCTTATCAAAATTCTTTAAATTGCAGTTAATACTTACTACCTCAACTCAGTATGTGTTTATAAATAAATACAGAAATACATACTTAAATAATGAGAATATTTCTTGTTAGCTCAGTAGTCTGCAAAGTCTTATTGAATGCTTAGATTCTTATTTTTTTGCTCTCTTAAGATAAAGGTTACTTGACTTACTGTAAGAAGAATGTGGATGAATCCATTGACTGTTATCTGAAAACTAGAATGTTATCTTCTAAAAGAAAATAATGCCATCCGGCCCATATAATAATGCCATATGATATAATAGAACTAATGGCTTTTTGTATTTTTGAATCACAATATATTGTAATTACTGCACAATATATTGTCTTCATCTTTTAGACTGTACCCAAAAGCAGATGTTATGTAGTCATAAAAGAGAAACAGTGTAATTTACAGGCACACAACCCGTTTTCTTAGTTCTTTTTTAAAAAATGTGAGTGAATCTATTTATTTAGAGCTTTTAGTGCATAAAATTTCCAATAAAATCTATTCAGTTGTCATAGTTTTAAAAATTAAATTATTTTCTTATGCTGATTTAGGAAAAAGCACAATACATGTTAACATAGTGGAAGGCAGTAAAAATATAGTTTGATTTAGAACATAATTCAGAAAATATATGTACCTCTTTTAGATTAGTAGTAATTTAGTAAGAAAATCCAACAATAAAATACAAATATATCTTTGCATGAATCATAAAAACAACAGAAAACTTTTAAACTTTTACTTGAAATGAATATAAAGTAGAAAATCCCTCCTTTTATTTTTACTCCCAAATTTTCTTCTATAAACTATTCAGTAATAAAATTTTTACTTTTCAAAAGTATACAAATTTCTCACTTCTTTAATGTGTACTTTTCATTCTGAGATATACAGTTTAGGTAACAATGATGCATTTTAAAATGTTATTGCTAGGGGGCTGGGAGTTTAGCTCAGTAGCACAAGCACCTGCTGGCAAGCATGACGTCCTGGGTTGGATCCCTGATACAAAAAAAAAAAAAAAAAAAAAAAAAAAATCGCTAGGACCCGAGTTGCTTCGGTGTAACCACAGAAGACCTAAATCATATTTAACTGATGCATACATTCTGTAGTTGCTCCAAGCTGGTCGGATTTATGCTAGCTGGTACTTCCACAGCAATGATGTCCTTCATAACATCGTAATGACTTCTCTTCTTCAATCTTGGAAACAACAAGCACATTGGAGAAACATTAATTCAGTGTTCTTCTGTCTTTCTAAAGGATTTCGCTACATTTATGAGAATCAATAATACCTTCTGATTCTGCAGACACATCTGTCTCTGTAATTGTTACTACCTGAGCTGAAGTAAGGACCTGATTTTGGCCAGTCCAAGTCTGCAAATGAGCAGGTCTGCTGTCTGTTGCACAATCTGCTATATTTCTATCCTGCTGTGAGTCAACTGTTTCTATGGTCATTTGTTTTATATGTTTCTTAATATATTTTTCCTATCACATTTTCTAATTTTTAGGGCATTTGCAATCAATCCTTTGCTCTTCTGCTTCTTTTTTATTTATCTGTGGTGCCTGGCCATATGTAGCCAGTTCTTCACTGCTGACCGACCTTATTTCTTAGTCTGTAATTCGTATTACTTTAACTAATGAGAAATTTGTCCTTAGAATATTAACCAAAATACTATATATGTATTAAAAATTCCGTAGACTTCCATTGCTTGATGGGCACCTTGATGGCAAATGTAGACTAAGATGTACCTAGAAACAGAATATAGAATCAGAAGCAGCATTCGACTGTGAAAAAAATCCAACAATTGAAGCAGATTTAGATTTAAAGCATGATTTTGTAACTTTTTAGATATGTAATCATAGACAAGTTAACCTGTGTATCAATTTGTTTTCATATACACACACACACACACACACACACACACACACACACACACACACATATATAGTGCAAGATCTATATGATAGTTTGTGGGGGCATAGTTAAGTCCTTAAATACAACAAAATCATGCTCATGATATAATAGCTGCTCAATGAATCCGAATTCTAATACTTCTCAGAATGGAAAGACACCTAAAAATACCTACTCTAGCTCTTACATTAGAGATGAGGGAATGGAGCCCCTGCATTTTCATTTTTATTTCACTGGAAGTTAAATTATTGGAACCATAGCTCAAGTGTCACACTGAGAATGTTTTAATACACTATTTTTGCTAAGCAGTTATCCACGATGAAAGCTAAATATGATCCTTGAGGAAATTTTATTATGAAAATGACAAGTGAAATATAATATAATTTCCTTTGAAATGTACATGATAAACCAAAAAGTAGTTGTGGTCACCTACATTAATTATGGAATCTTGCCTTAACGCAATCATATTATGAGGTGTTATACTACAATCGTCGTCATTCTCATTGCCATGAGGTAAATATAATTCTAAGAATAAAGGCAAAGGTTATGAACGTCTTAGTTGCACAAACTGTGGCCAGGATATCATTTATCACACATACTCGGCTACCATCTATTTTAGCTTACAAAGAGAACAACTTCCTTTTACTCATGCTGACTGGGTTTTTTTAAATGAGAGAGAGAGACAGAGAGACAGAAAGAGAGAGTCAGTGCCGGACATGGTAGCACATGCCTGCAATTCCAGAACCCAGGAAGCTGATTTAGGGGGATTTGTGACTTCCAGGGGTTCGCTACACAATGACAGTTTATCTCAAAAAAAAAAAAAAAAATCATCATCCTGTTTTTCTGTGATGCAATCTTGTTTGTTTGTTTATTTGTTTGGTGTGGTCTAACCCTTACTGGGACCCTACCCCAGGGCACGAGCTTCCCCCAAATAGTGTTATTCTTCCTATTGGCTTATAGGAAGTGAGTGGCTTGTATGTATTTTCAAGCACCTCTCCTTGTGCATTCTTAGAGTGTGAAGTATCTTTATTCTAAAAATTTACATTTTGTGCAGGGTCAGTTAGCTGAGCAAGTTAATAGTTAATAATTTGTCATTTATAGCCGGACTACTTTCAAAATGGATTCTCTGTGGAAACTGCTAATTCATTGATGAATTATTCAGTGCGTTTGGGAAGAACTTACGCAGTTGTCACATTTATGAAATGAAATTAAATGTTCTTCATCAGGTAATTAGTAAGTTGCTTTCCCTCTACAGTGTAACTCAGAAAAGACTGCGTGTTTCTCTCATCGTAGTCCCAGTTGTGATTGTTTAAATGCAACATATTCTGTCACCTTCCTGCCTTTGCAACTGCAGATCCTTGTTCTCCACACTTGGTCTGATAAACGCCTACTGCTTCTTCCTCGGCAGGGTGAGCGCTGTTTCCTTCCGGAGGAGGTTACCTTTCACTCAGCAAGCGCTGAAGGAGCGCTGACCTTAGGCACAGTGTGGCACTGTGTGATGTGCCCACGAGGAGGAGCAGGCTGCGTGCTAAAGGATGCACCTAAGAGGGGCGAGGGGCGCAGGACACAGAGGACAGGAGGGTGCCCCTGGAGCTGGGGGTGTAAGAGCCAGTCAGCTGGGGGAGGGCATGCTTCTCCCAGCACGGCCCATTCCGTGGGAGGGAGTGACACACTGATCTACAGGCAGGTTTATCCCTCGGAACGCGAGGAGGTGCAGGAGGACGCGTGGGCGCCCCGTGGGACGCGGTGCAGGTGCCTGGCGTGGCCTGCCTGCTGGCACCTCGCTGAGTCCCCTGCGCTGGCGCCCACCCGGCCTCGGGCTTCCCTGAGGTCTTGCCGAGGGCGTTTCCCACCCTGCCTCCTCATGCCCCCCAGGCTTCCTGCGAAGGCGCAGCCTAAGTGCCTGCGGGTCCACTGCAGGGCTGGCCTGCTGTTCCCCTGCTCCCGGGGCTGTCTGCAGTCACAGGGGCAGCTCCTTCGAGCGGAAGCTGCAGGGTGCAGTGTTGGGGTACCAGCCGGCGTCTTCCTGAAAAGATCTGTGGCAGCAAAGTGATGTTGCAGAGCTGGCTGAACCGAGACTCCCAGTAGGAGAGCGAGAAGCGCAGTCATTCCCCCAGTGAAAGCAGGAGGCCAGCAAACACGTCCAGGGCCCGGGGAGCAGAGCCACAGGAGGAGTTCCCGAGGGGTGTGGGAGGACTGTCCCGGATGTGCTTCCTGACCGGCTGCGGGACAGTGACCACCTGTTACACGGCACACCCTACACATCCCTTCCTTTCGGGTTTGCTCCAAGAGCGTCTGCCTCCCGTGGAAACTGGCAAAACTGAGCCTGTGTGCTTGGTGTCAAGCTGTTTTAAGAAGCCTTGGCCATCTGACCAAATACATACTTCATGGCTCCTCTGCAGAAGCCGGTGGCTTGGAGACGTTCTGTTTTGGAAGCAGTGCTCTGCCACAGCATCCCTTGTCATTCAGAGAAATCGCTCAAAGCTATTCTATTCCAGAATTGCTCTGCTGACCGTTGGAAGCTTGGTCCCCTTGCTCTGTGGCTTCGTTCACTTCCCCAAGGCTTTGGCTGATCTGCCTCTCCCTTGTCTGTGTCCTGGGCATCTCTGCCACCCGTGCTGCAGAGTGGGACCAGTTGGCACTCTCAGGCACCTTCAGACAAGAGCAGGAGTGTCCCTGGGTCTTGACTGAAATGATGTAATACCCACCGCACACTTTAATATCAACAAGGTCTTGTTAAGGCCGTGTGGATTGGCTCTTTCTCAGGGCTGTGAGGTTCATCACTGGGGCTGCCCTTTGTGCTGCTCAGATTCTTGAATATTTCTCCCTCGGAAAATTTGACATGTGGTTCCACACTCATCAGATTTTCCACATCTTTGTGATAGCAGCAGTCTTTGTGCTATGGGTCACCAACCTTCAGGAGCTCCATTACAAAAGGTGGCTGTGCTAAAAGGTGACGGCACAGATGATATCTTTCTCCAAGCTTTGCCACGGGTGGGGTGGAGGAGCAGCTTCCCGAGTGCTTTTATAAAAGATTTCTTGCCTGCAGTGAGAGGAAGAACCTGAGTTTTAGAAGAAACCTCTCAGAGAACTCGGTACCAATCAAGCTTCAGCTTACTCTTATAGCCATTGTATATAACCCTTCCATTTCCATTTCCTGGCCAGGGAAGGTGCAGGCGGTCAGCCTACTCATGGCTCTGGTCCTCGGTCAGTCATCTAGGCAAGGAGACTGTTGGTCCTCCAGAGGTAGTACTTTAAGCTCACGCTGAGATTTTATTCCTTTCTCCAACCATTTTGGGAAAAATTATGGAGTGGGACTCTCTAGAAACTCTGCTTTTTTCCTGAAAGAAAAGGTATCTTCCTTATGACCATCTTTGCTTTGTAACTCGACTTTTAACAGACCCTGCCTTTCTGTAGCACATTTCTCAGAAGCAGATTATAACTGAGCCTTCCTCACACAGAAGGAAGAATAAAGCCATCAATTTTGACATAGCTCAACTAACCATGAAAGTGTATCCATGCTGCAGATAAGTTTTAATTTTTATCTTGGCAGGCTAATATAAAATTAAAATGGGGAAAGATATTTAACATTTAATACTAAGCTTGAAAAAGAAACCTACTGCTGGGCAGGGGAAGTAACTTAGCAGCTCAGCACCTGTCCGGCAAGGGTGAGTCGTGAGTTTGATCCCTGGTACAGAAAAATTTAAAAAATGAAAAAAGAAAAGAAAAGAAAAAATAAATCTGCTATCATAACTATGTAGCAACACAAATATTATTTGATAGTAGAATCAAGCAGAGAAGTAAAAAAAAAAAAAAAGGAAATCAGAGGAATCTTGTGGAATCCATTAATGAGAAGTGCCTTGAAGGGGGAAAGGGGCTGGGCAGGTAGAGTCAGATTTCTTAAATACTTCACCCACTTTCCTCAGTGATCTCAGTCTCACTTCCCACCATTTGGCACAGTACTATTTCTGTTAGCACCTAAGAGGTGCAGATCATTTTGTGTCACAATTTAGTCAGGTGCATGAACAATTTCTGCACATGTCTTGGGTAGTGAAGGTGAATAACAGGCATTTAGGGCCTTTTTATTGCTTTTGTTTATTTAACTTACTCATTTTCAGTAAGGAGATCAAGGTTTTAATACGCCCCTTCCCTTCTAGATAGTCCAGCAATACTTATCTTCAGACACAGCCACTTTTCACCCAGTGATCCTAAAACTTCACCTCCAGGAAACCTTGACTTGGGTGCCAGGAGATAGTCTGATACAAATGGCAATTAAACCACTTGCTTTTCTGTCTCCTCAGTTTGCTGGCTTCACCATGATTGGCACTTTCTTCTCCCCTGCTAAAAGCCCACAGCCAATTCCACATATTCTCTGAAAGTCTGCCATTTGCCAATCCATTCTTAAATTATGTCTGAGCAATTGTTGGGCAATTACTTACAGTGCACTTAAAATAAGGAACTTGGTAAATCTCGAGGTCTCCAATTCTCAGAACAGCATTCTTAGAAAATAGTAAGATTGTAAGGTCTGTTTCTGCCTCATCTG